TCTGGGAATGAAAGATTGCCAGGACTACAGAGAGAGACTCAAGATAAACTGCTGTGATGAGTCAAACAAGAGAGGGTACAGAATTGAGCTCAGGCAACAGTGAAATAGGTGGAGGAGGTAGGAAAGGAAAAAGCAATTTGCTTGTGGTGCATAAGGAGAAAGGTGACATCAGAGCAGAGTGCTAAGCTGAAAGTTTTGGCACCGTAAGTGAAGGGCAGATTTGAAAGGCGGGACAATGAGTTCTGATGGGAGGATCCCCAGGAGTTGTCCGGAGAGAACTGAGTGTGTGGTTTGATTGCTCAGAGGAGAGGTCTGTAGATGGAACTGGCCCTTAGGCTCTGGTTCAGCCTAGCCAAAACTGCAGTTTGTTGTATAAGTAGAGCACTGTACTCACACACATGCTGTTTGTTGTCAATGGAAAGTAAAGAGGAGATTTATGAAATTTACACTCACAGAGAAACAGGGGGAGGACACCTAATAGATCCTGCATGTATTTTTGCACACAAATAATTCTCCTTTCTATTTTAACACCTCGGGAAATCCCCTTTCTCACCATCAGCTCTGAGCACAAGAAGCCAGCCCACAAAAGCTTTCATGTTAATTCTTCTTGTTGTGCTTATTACAGATTTTCTGGGCTCTTCAGATATACATATACATACACACACATACATAGATGTGTGTATGCATGTGTGTGCTCAAGAGAATGGTGGAAATTTACCCTGCAAATCTCATTCTATAAAAGTATATGATACATGTTGTCCTTGCCATTGTGAGGTAAGAACATTTCCAAAATATTTGCTAATCGCAAGGGTAAAATATTATTGTTTTTTTACATTTAAATATTTTAACTTTTTTTTAAATTATTACAGGATCTGTAAGCATTGAATATTTATAGATCTTTAAAGAAAATGTATTATCAAATTCTAATATTACTTTTTTCTCAACCATTTGAACCAAAATGCAAAATTTCAAAAAAGCTTAAATACTGCACAGTAAAAGTTGTTTTGTTTATCTTTAAGACTTCATTTCTATCTAGTAAATTAAGGAGGCTACTCTTAATTACTTTAGGGTTTTAAATCAATATTTTATTATATGAATTCGCAGTTTCCGAATGAATATTTTTGCATTTTATCTATATACTCTCTGGACTTATTATCCATGCCTTGAAATGCCAAAAGCATATTTAAATTAGATTTTTAAATTATCATATGGCAAAACTGAATTTTGGTTTTGGTACATAATTCTGTGAATTTGAGTTTAGATTTCTGTGAGTTCTATCATAGTCAGGCTGTAAAATAATTCTGTCTTCCCCCAAAACTTGCTCATCAATTCCTATAAAGCTATACCTTGCTCCTTTTCCCAACCACTGGTAACCACTGATATTTTTTCTCCATATTGCTTTGTCTTATTAAAAATAGTATATTAATGCAATTATATAATATCTTGTTTTATTTAGCATTTCTTGAATTGCTGACAAGACTAAACACTTACTCATGCAACTAGTTGCAGTTATGTTTTCTGTATTTTGTATAGTTTGTGTCATTGCCACTTACTCATTCAGGTCATAGGTAGCATTTATACAAACTTGCTGTGCTTATTACATAAGAACTAGAAGCCCAGTGCACAGATTCGTGCACATTAAAAGGAAATTAATTAGAAGGTGGCCAGCAGGTGAGACTGGGCAAGATGGGCCAGACACGCCCTGGAGCCAACCTCCCGTGGTCCCTCACCAGCTGGCTGCACCTGGGCAATGCCACTGTTCGGAGGGTGTCAGAGTGAGTGGGCTCCCTCCAGCAGAGAAGGTCCCTTAGCCTGGCCTGCAGGGATCAGGCCTAAACCAGCAGTCTGACATCCCTTGATGGGTCCTGAAGTGCAAAAAGGCACTCTGCAAAGTTGCTGTCACTCGGCAGCTTCTGCATTGAGCATCTGCTCCCTAGTGGTCAGTGCTCATTATACCTACTGGCCAGTCTGTTAGCATCATATAGATGATGCTAACTAATTGTCTGTGGTAATTTCCATCCATATTGCCCCTGCTAAATTCTTGGCTTTATGTTTCATTATTTTCTTGAAATATATAAGACCTTACAAATAGTAATATCATCGGATCTAATAATATTGTAGTATCAATACTCTAGTGACCTAGTCTGATGCAATATTCCTAATTTTTTTAAAAAATTATAAAAGGAGCCAAAACCGGTTTGGCTCAGTGGATAGTGTGTCAGCCTTCGGACTGAAGGGTCCCCAGGTTCAATTCTGGTCAAGGGCATGTACCTTGGTTGCAGACACATCCTCAGTAAGGGGTGTGCAGGAGACAGCTGATCGATGAGTCTCTCTCATCGATGTTTCTAACTCTCTATCTTTCTCCCTTAAGCTCTGTAAAAAAAAAAAAATCAATAAAATATATTTTTTAAAAATTTTAAAAGGATGCTATGACAGCATATTTCTAGTATGAAACAGTCTAAATGTGAAAGTATAAGACTTTAGTAGAGCACATCCAGGTGCTGTCTCTCAGGAAACGTCATGCAAGAATGAAAAGGATGCTGTCAAAAACAATGTAACATAGGCTGTTTTTATGGTAAAATATTAAATGAAAAAGCCAAATATAATTTCATGCATACATATGAACACAGCAAGCAAAACAAAAAAACACAAAACCTGTTTATTTTTTTTAAAGACTAGAGAAAAATACATCAAAATAGTAATAGTGATTTGATTTCATTGCTGGAACTGTGGGGTGATGTTTCAATTTTGTGTGTTTTCTTCATATTCCATATGGACCACTTTATTGTTGGAGGAGGGGAAATTTTTCTGAGGAGTTCAGGAACAAAATGCTACCTTTGGCCTTTAAAAATGCACCCCAGAGCTTGAGACGTTATTAAAAGATATGTGAAGTTAAACACACAAATGTCAATTCGCTCTTCTGGATGTCAAAACGTCAGATCCTGTCACTGGGACTAGACCTTTAGAAAGAGAGGCAGTGGCTTGGCTCTCACACAGGTATATGCAAGAGGCAAACTGTCAAATGCTCCATGGTGAGTGGACAAGGCAAGAGAATCTGGTGAAATGGCAAATGAATCTGCACTGCTAATGAAATAGGTCAGCTGCTGTCTCAGAAGCCCTGCGGGAGGGGAAGAGGTTTTGCTGCTCCTCTTTTTCATACAGAGAAACCCTGGTCACCTTAGAGGTTTCTGTCTATTCCCACACAGATTTTCCCAGGGGCATGCTGAGCAGTTGTCACCTAATTGTGAACCCAGCCTGGAAATGGCAGAATGACACATCCTTCTCTAAAGGTCAAAGCTTGAAACTCACACTTCATGAGTCAGTGATCCCTCCTGACTCAAGAAAGAATGACTTACCTTTACTTGTATTAAAGAAATCTTCAAAGAGTTCACACATGGCAAATATTCTCAAATGAGAATTGTTCCTGGTGATTTTTCCTGATTACTGGAGATACCCAGATTTCTCCAAAAGACCTATGTGGCTCAGGAGAGGTAGGGAGGGGTCTCAAAGAAGTTTTCTCCAGAGAACTCTCTGTTACCAGCCTGCCTACTGCCTGAGAATTCTAAAAGCAAAGGGTGAAGGGGCTCCTAAAGACAAATTCGGGTTATCCTGCTGCTAATTCAACAAAGTGACCTGCACGGCATGTGTTTCAGAGACTAAGGACACCCCAACAAATCATGGTTCTGTAACCAGCTCCTCTAGTTAAACCTGCTAACCTCTGCAGAAAAATGGGGACTTTTTAAAAATCCATGAAATTAACCACAGTTGTCAAGAGCCCCTAATTTGTCTCACGCTGGGTTCAGAAAACCCAAAAGATCCAGAGACAACTGGCACTCCCAAGGACTGGTGAACTTTTACAACTCTGCCTGATTCAGGATTCCGGACCCAACATTTCTAGTGAAGTCATTGATTCTCACATCTGGATTCCCATTTGTCTGAGCAGTTTACTTCCTTTATATAAGGTAGAAAAGAAAGCCAAGGTTTTAATGCTTTACTTTGTTCTTGTTAACTTTGGCTTACTTTAAAAACTGACTAAATTCAGGAGACAGTTCAAGAAGCCAAAAGAAGTAACTTTTTCACTGAATACCAGTTAATAGTTTCAAAGTTATGTGACCTCATAGAAAAGTAGGTTAAAAAGGGGGGGGGAAGGGGGAAGAGTGCTTAGTTGAGATAAGTGGTAGCCAGAGTAAACAAGGAAAGGAAGGAACAGCAGGTGAAGATTCAGACTAGAATCCTAAAATGTGTAGCCAAGACTATGATTTTCCACCTATATCTCTAGGCAAGCGTAATTATGAGTTAATTGGCTTTCATGAAGTTCTTTGTTTATCCTTGAACAGTAAAGCACTGTTTTATGGCAATCAAAGATTTAGGGTTTCTTTTAAGTCGTTCACGATGTTCAAAAGCTTATTTTATATGTATGCATATTTACATACTCACACATATATATGACAAGAACAGAGCAACCTTTTTGAAATGTCTAAAGTACATAGGGCTCAGCTGCTAAATACCCAGAGTCAGTTCTACCACACACACAAATAGCCCATGTAAGAATTTTGTAGTATCATATTTAACTGGTGTGACTAAAATAGACTCACTCTTTATAAACTCATTTTACTATTATTGTTAATTGTTTGCTGAGTACCTACCTGAATAACAGAAGAAATAAAATGTTGGAAAACGTTTGCCTCTACCTGCAAACGTTAATCAGACATAACTGCATTAAATGAAACGTGGATTACAATTCCAACTGACCAGATTGAGTAACGCAGACTTCCAGAGAGCCTCCTTCCTTGGCAAGTCAGTCTGTGGTTTGGGATGAGCCCAATAATGTATTTTGCAGAAGGGGGAGTAAAAGCATTTGTTCAAATGGAGCGTGAAACCATCTGAAGCTGTGGCTATTGACAATAAAGCACTGGTTAGGTGGAGAGGGGTCACCAAAAATAATACATTTTACAGCCTCTCAAATAGCATTTGTCTTTTGTCACTTTACAGGAGCCACTATGTCACCATTTCTTCGAATTGGTTTGTCCAACTTTGACTGCGGGTCCTGCCAGCCTTGTCAAGGAGAGGCCATTAACCCTTACTGCGCTGTGCTTGTCAAGGAATATGTTGAATCAGGTAAGCTTGAGTGGGTCTTCCAAGAGGGGGCGGGAGAGGAAGATCCTGCTATGAACTATGAAGCAAGACCTTTCTAAGTCCTCAAGGTCATCTGGCTCAAACTAATTTTCCACTCCAGGAAACTGATGCCCAGAGAAACCTAGTACTTCCTCAAGGGTAAAGGGCTTAGTGATCATCTCTGAACTAGACCCAGGTCACCTGCCTGTGTTCTATTTCACTGAACTATTTTCCCACATAAACAAAGGGAGCAGAGGAAAGGAGAAATGGGTTTGAGGACTTTAGGTGAGGAGTTAATGGGACTGTGGTGGTCAGAGGGAATTTAGTGCTCTAATGTGGAACATGGGACCTATCTTGTTAAAACTCATTGTTTTCAATGACTGTAGGTTAAGTCTGCATAATCTTAGAATTGGCTACTAAAGACAGCTTTTTGTTTCTTTGAACATAGTTGATGAATACTATAAAGAACATGTGAATTAGCTATTAGAAACCAAATTTCAGAAAATTTACTTTTGCATTAAGACCCTGGATTAGTAAAATAATAGTCCACGTCATGTCAAATTCAAATGTAGGCCGGCCGTTCATGGTGAAGAAGGAAGCGTGACAGGCTTCCAAAAGCCCTTTTGTGGGTTTAGATCATTCAATTAAGATAATCCCGTTCTGACTGGAACCTCTCCACAGTCACTTCCACTGGTTTCCATTCTCCTCCCTGTCTCTATATTTTAAGATTCTTATGAACTTTCTTTTTTTTAATTTGTCTTTATTGTTGAAAGTATTACAGATGTTCCTTTTTTTTTCCTCATTGACCCCCCCCTCCTCCCCACTTCTGTCCCCTCCCCAGGCTTTCACCCCACTATTTTCTGTGTCCACGGGTTAGCATATATATGCATACAAGTTTTGTTGGTTGATCTCTTCCCTCTCTTTTATCCCTTCCCTCTGAGGACCCTCAGTCTTACGGACTTTCTAAAGGAAAGGATAAAGGAAGTTTACATCCCAAGGTTTTCCCAGCCCCATTACCTTCCCTATTTCCCTCCACACACTTCTTGTTTCAGCAGACACTTTATAGAGAAGTAAGATTACCCACGCAGGTCTGCAGTGACCATCAGAGCCATTACAGTTCATTTACATGAGAAGTATTTATGGGGTGCCTCCTGTGCACTGGATAGAAAATGTGCCCTGTTGTAGAGCTTCTCTTCTTACAGAGGAAGATAGGCAGGAAACAAAAATATTATATGGTAAGTCATGTGGAGTGAAGAAGGAAAAAGAATAGATCAGCGAACAGGGAGTGAGAAGGTTTGGGGACAGAGAAATGTTATTTTATTCTGGGTAGTCCTACAAACATCTCTAAGGGGTGGTAACATTTACGGACACAAAATGGAAACTGATTCTGCAGGTGAGAACCTCCAGCTTGATGTTGCTGGCTCAGAATCCTGGGGTTCCCAGTCCTTCTCTCTTGCCTTTTCTCTCCTTTAAAAGACTTGGGCTCCCAGTTGACTTCATCCCTCCTGCCACAGTGAGTGTGTCAAAGCTGAGGGGACCATTCGAATCATCCTGATTTCCCCTCTGACCAGATTTCTCTCTTGCTTAGAGAATGGCACTTGCTCCCAATTTAAAACCTTTCAAATGTCACGGAAATCTTTGAAGTGTGAAATGTCTTGAGTTCTTCAAAGCTGCTTTGGACTTAATGGGTCTCCTGCATCCCAGTTCTCTTTACCACCACAGGTCTCCCTGACATTTGCTTCCTGGGAGCTTTTTTTTTTTTTTTTCCTTCTCCTTTTGGCCTTGCCTTTGAACTTGGTCTAACCAGCCATGTGGATCAAGACCTTGTCAAAAAAGAAGACAACTTTGTTTTTCCAAAGGTTAGCCTGTCGTATGTTATTGTTTTTTTATTTTGCTTTGGTTTTGTTCAGAAAAGAAATCTCTCTGAACATTATCATTCAAGTATTACTTTTACAGCACTTAAACACACTTCAACCTTGGGGATGTGCGGCTGCCTTTTTCCAGGTGAATCCACAGAACAGAGACAAACAGAACACAATGCTGAGGGTCTGGGAGCCTTTGAAACAATGATGAAACTCACTGTAACTAGATAGATGCTGAGTGCTAGGTCCTCTTTTTTAGATGATTACAAACCTAGTGATCAAAAGTATGAAAAATGCCTCCCCCTGGGAACATCTGCCCTTTGTCAGATGGAGAAAGGTTTTGGTTAAAAAGAATTATGAGAAGGAGGGGGTTTAAAGTCCATGGAAGTAAAATGTTACTATGATTGTTAATCTTGCCATTGTTTGTTTTTAAGTCCAATTCAATTTCTTTTTTCTCAAGATTATTACTCCGGTTTAATATTTTTTTAAAATATTTTCTAAATTCCTCACACGATTTTTCTCTCACTTATAAGCAAACCTTAAAGCAAGGTGTGATAAAATCAATGAGGAAAGAGCAGAAGGCACATATACTCAAGGACTATAGCCGGGCCTCAATTTCAGCTTTGTCAGCAGCAGAACTGGAGGGAGCAGCAATATTCACCACACCGCTCCTTTAACTCTCCATATTCTCTCTGAAAGACAAGGGGGTGTCAGAGTGCTGGTAGAAACTTCACTAAGTGTGACAAACTATTCCTTCTTCTTGGCCTCAGTTAATAAATAATTCAGAGGCTTCCTCAAACAGTACTTTCCAATTTACTAAATCTTCTTTCTTGCCCATGGTTCATTCCAGTAACATACTGATCAATGTCACTCCACTAGTTAAATTTCTTTTAAACAAGCAATAGAAATCTTTCCCTTCCTATTCTCCCCTTATCATTATCAGAGTTCATACCTCTAATAACTAGGTTTGCCTAAAAAGAGAAGTTTCCATTTATTCACATCCTTGTATACCTTCCAAATAATAATTTAGCTTGTTCCGTTCTAACAGTGTGCATTGGAGAGAAAGGGCCATCGGGAGTCAGAACTGCTTTGTTTCCCTGCTTTAAATGGACTTTACCTTTGGTTTAATCAATACCTCTAAATTGCTAAATCTGCCAGGTACTGTGCTTATTATCACAAGAATCAAACAGTCAAATACCACTGTAGTTTTCTGCTTCTGGAATGATTAAAGAACATCTACTTACATCTGGATGAAGGATGGGACAACACTATTTATACTCCCAGTAGTGAACTCTCCCAATCGCCTGGTGGCTCTGGGGAGGTTTCCCTTAAACTTCACCATCCTGACCATGGTTCTTGTTAGAACCATTCCCGGGACTGCTCTTCCTCACTGCAGGTCTATGGCCTGCTCCACTGACTCACTCCATGGAGAAGTTCACCATCTCTCCGAGTTACTTGTCAGTTTTTGCTTATGGTGCACGGTGGCTCGTTCGGGTAAAACGTATCCGCATTTGAAAATTAGAGAAGGCAATAATGGCTCATATATTTTACAGGTTTTGCCTTTACCATAAAGAATGGGGTTTAAGTCACTCTGCCCTACCAAATATACTAACCTTAGCCCTTTAATTCTTTTTATTTTCTTAGATATTCGCATTCAAAGTGAAGCTGTTGGATAGAAAAAGAACAGTGCCACTCCAAGGCATTGTCAGATTTTTATTGCCTGGATTATCCAGGTTGACTTTATGTTTCATTACATTACTTTGCTTGCCAAACTTAGAAATGTCTCATTCTGTCCTACATTGCCTCTAATTGTTTTACGTGTCATTTTTGTCTTCCCAGCAGGATTACGTATCCTAGAGAGCAGATGGAATGAGTGCCACTGCTGAGTTGAATTGATTTTTTTTCCTGAGTGGGCTAAAGGAGTAACGAGACCATCTCTTTCTGTTCCTAGAGAATGGGCAGATGTACATCCAGAAAAAGCCAACCATGTACCCGCCCTGGGACAGCACTTTTGATGCCCATATCAACAAGGGAAGAGTAATGCAGATCATTGTGAAAGGCAAAAATGTGGACCTAATATCTGAAACTACTGTTGAGCTCTACTCTCTGGCTGAAAGATGCAGGAAGAACAACGGGAGGACAGAAATATGGGTAAATATCTGAGCTGTGAGCCTTTTTTAAACTGTATATACTATTAAGTGGTAAGTACCATATTAGCTAAAGACTAGCTCAAGTCTTTAGCTAATATGGTACTTACCACTTAATATTTCAATGTCATCCTAAAATTATGACACAGTAGCCTTGTGTAAACAGAGTCCCTACCACTTAGTCATTGGTGACTTGATAATGACAATGATCATTACTTGTGGACATATTGTCATATTCAAATCACTTTGATTCCTGTGCAAGGTGAAGAATGCCTCTTAGGCTATGAACAACTGTAATTGATTTATAACTAAAAGTAAGTTCAGAAATATCACAAATACCCCCTAACTTGGGAGCACAACTGTTGTCTATCAAGATAACACATAAATATCTTACAGATAAGATGATAGATAAGTGAGAGTATTGAGCGAAGATTTATTTAATGTTGGGTCTTCTCCATACTTTGCCAATCCCTATAAATTGTTTTAGCTATAATGTACTCACTTTGTACTAAAAATTACATCATACACAATCCAAGTTACCACATCAAGTTTTTGGAAACTTTTTTAAGTGTTTTGTTAACAAATGTTTAGAAATGTTCAAGGGAAGAATCCTATATAATAAAGAGCTAATATGCTAATTAGTCCAAATAGCAGAATGACAAATCCAGACAACCTCCAGACAAAGCTGGGGCTGCAAGGACCAAGTTCCTTACATGAATTTCGTGCATTGGGCCATTGGTAAAATATGAAAAGATAAAAAATTCCCAATGAAAATTGCTGGGGCCCATAAAATGGAAGTATTTTTATACCGTGTTTCCCAAAAATAAGACATCCTCCGAAAATAAGACCTACTTACAGATTTCCTTCTGAATGAAATATAAGGCATCTCTCCAAAAATAAGGCCCCATGAGAGATTTGGTTCACTGATTCTGAAAGAAATGGAATCACAAGAAATTCACCAGGAAATTCAGGAATTGGATTGTTATGATGATGTTCCAGAAGATGATGACATGATTGTCATTGAATAAATGAGTAAATTCTTGATACTGTAGGATTCACAATTTGTCTGGTTTGTGTTGACAACTACCATACTGCCGTACTGTATACAGGTAATAAATTTCCTTTATTTTCATTTAACAATAAATGTGTACCGTATTCTTCTTCATGGAAAAATAAGACATCCCCTGAAAATAAGACCTAGTGCATCTTTGGGAGCAAAAATTAATATAAGACACTGTCTTATTTTCAGGGATACAGGGTACAAGTGAAAATTTCTTTTAATTAAGATGGAACCCAGAAAATATTATCAAATGTTTATATCATTTACACAGAGAGAATCTTACCTGCTTTTTACTTCCTAAAACTCAGATGTTTAATAATTCTACCCAAAAGAATGATATAAGCCTAAAAACTAGATTTTTGTGTCAGTTTTATATTTTTGATCTCAAAATAATTCAGTACTTATTAGGGAAATGTCTTTTTATATAAATATTTTACTAGTGTCATTAAAGTCATCTTTAAAGATAAGCATATGCCAAGATTTTTATTTCTAAAAAAATGGATCCTATGCTTAGATGTGCTCAGATAATTTAGTTCAGCGGTATCTGTTGAGCACTGGGGGGAAGACTCATGAAAACAGAACTCCTCCTAGGTAGCTAGTTAGGCAAGTAGTAAAATAATGTAACAGAGGTGTACCATAGTCTTAAAAAGATTTACATAAACCAGATAAGTGAGGGGAGAGACTGTAGCTGGGCCTGAAGCAGGGGAGCATTAGGCTAGGGTAGGAGAAAGCAGAAATTAACAAAAGAAAGTCTTTCCCAGTTTTCATCATTTCTCATTTATTTTCTGCTTTCTACCTCATAAAAAAAAAATCACCAAATTCCTAATTTTTAAAAGTAACATGCTATTTCATTTCCTTCTCAAATAATGAAAGAATGACTACTTTTTTCATCTTTTTGTTAAGCTTCACTAATAAACAGGTTGCTTTTCTATTTATATCTCAAAGTTGCCTTTCATTTCTTGCCTCAGCTTTTTATGATTTTATTCTTATCAGACGTTTTACTTTTTTGTTTGTTTGTTTGTTTTTGCAATCCGTTATTATTTAGACCTAACGCTTGGGGACTTTCAGATCCTCACTTAATTAACAACCTTTTTACATTTTCCAGCTTCTTTAAAAAAGCTATTTTTTTATTGACTTATATTTATAGTGTTTAAGGGCTAATAGGTTTGTTTGGAACTTTGTTTTGGACTTACATTTTCCTAAGGTTCTACTTAAAATTAACTTCTCTATTTTTAGAAAAATATTTTCTCACAGTTGCCTTTCAGTTATGCAAACACCATTATCCAATTTCTAAACACCCCACAGAACTTGCCTCCTGCTTTCTCAAGTTTTTTAGCATTTGTATATACCTACTATTCACTCTCAGAAACGTGATGAATTATGACTTTCTGTGGATACTGTTTTGCTAGCAGCTAAGAGGTTTAACTTCCCCCATCACCACTAAGTCCTGCCTATTGATAACTATGGTTACCTGGTCCCAATCTCCCCCACTTCATTGTCTCCTGCTCCTCTAGTTCCACTGTTGTGTCCACCTTTATTATATATTCCACAAATCAGAGAGCAGTGTATATTCTTGATGACAAAAGCACTTCTCTTTTCATTAACCTATTTAAGCTTGCAATAGAATTTAAAGTTGACCAAACAGTACAGGTTTATTTTATCATAAAATTCTAATAATAGTCATGCTGTTTCAGAAGTGTCACTATATTGGCTTTTCAGAGATCTTTGAAGGATTAGTGGCTTGCACAAGGTCACACAGCCAGTAAATTATTTAGCTACAATTAAAATTCAATCCTGGGTTCAACCAGTCCTTTCTTAACTATTCTGTTATTCTAGTTAACTTATCAATGTAATTATCCTTCATATTTTTGATATGTTAACAATATAGAGTTATGGTTTAGTGTATTAGCAATAGTGGCCAGGTTATGGTGGCTTTGACGTTTTTCCCATAATGTCACATCACTGCATCACCTCTTAAAATGACATTTTGTTCTAATTCCTTCTACATACTAGATCTGAGAAGAGATAAAATGACATATTTCAGAACCATTACTAGGTGTACCACTTAATAATCAGGATATTTTTCAATAGATTGAGTTAAACATATGTTGATATATATGCAATTTGACATGTATGCTATTTTTTTTAGCTATAATTCAAATTCAATCCTGGGTTCAACCAGTCCTTTCTTTAACTATTCTCAGTTATTCTAGTTATAGAATAAACTTCAGAACTTCATATGTCACATTTTCTGAAGGTGTTAACATCATAGATATTTTTATGCTTAAAATTTTCAAATATATGCCAAAAAGAGAGCATTTTTGGGAAGTTTTAATTCATTATTTTGAAGAAAAGTTCGGCTGAAGGTTATCATATACTTCAAGAAGCTTATGGTGAACATGCTCCATCTCAAAATACTTGTGAATGCTAATTTAAATGCTTTAAAAGTGATGATTTTGATGTGAAAGACAAAGACAAACCAGAGAAGTTTGAAGACCAAAAAAATTACAAGCATCATTGCATGAAGATGCGTATCACACTCAAAAACAACTTACAGAAAGATTAAATGTTGCTCAGCAAACAATTTCTGATTATTTACAAACAATAGGAAGAATTTTAAAGGAAGGAAAATGGGTGCCACATCAACTAAACAAAAGACAAATGGAAAACCGAAAAGTCATCAATAAAATGTTGATTCAACGGCACAAAAGCAAGACTTTTTTGCATTGAATTGTGACTGGCAATGAAAAGTGGATTTATTTTGAGAATCCCAAATGCACAAAATCAAGATATTGCCTAGGAAGTATTAACCCACCTGCCATTGACCTTGCACCTTCAGAATACCACTTGTTCTGATCGATGGCACACACACTTTCTGAGCAGCACTTCAAAACAAAGAAGTGGAAAATTGGGTCTCTGAATGGTCTGCCTCAAAACAAAAAAAATTCTATTGGGATGGTATCCACAAATTACCTGAAAATGGGGAAAATGTGGCATTACTTTGAATAAAGCACTTTTGATATTTCTCTTGAAATTATTGTGTTTTCTTTGGATTACAAAAGATGAATTATTAACCAGTTAATAATTAACCCATATTATTAACTGGTTAATAGTTAATCTATATTATTAACCCGTGAATAGTTGATCCACATTTTTAACCGGTTAATATTTAACCCACAATATTAACCGGTTAATACGAATTTTGTAATCAAAGAAAACACGGTAATGTCAAGAGAAACATCAAAAGTGCTTTATTCAAAGTAATGTCCATCACTAGCTACACATTTCCCCATCTTTCAGATAATTTGTGGGCACCGTTCCAATAGAACTTTTCCTGTTTTGAGGCAGACCATCCAGAGACCCAATTTCCCACTTCTTTCACATTTTGAAATGCTGCTCAGGAAGTGCGTGTGTCATCTATCTGAACAAGTGGTATTCTGAAGGAGCAATACAACAAAACAATATACATATCAAATTGCATATATATCAACATATGTGTAACTCCATCTATTGGGGAGGAAAAATCCTCATTATTAAGTGGTACACCTAATAATGGTACTGAAATATGTTATTTTATCTCTTCTCAGACCAATTGAATCAAAATTTTCTTTAGGTTACCCAGCACTTTCTCAAGGAAAAAGGTCTCTCCTTATGGAACAAAAGGCCACTCCTATCCCCTATCCTGATTAGCCTTGTGCCACGCGTGGAGGCAACTGAAGTAAAGGATTTATCTTTCTTCCCAAAGACCTACTCAATCCCCATGTGAGCTAGTCCCAGGGTCTGTGATTCTTTTGTCATGTTTAAGATCTGAATCACCCCTTACAGCTCTTCAAATAAGCAGCAGTGCAGGACAAGAAAATCAAATAGAATCTGCTTGGGAATTTTGTTTCTTCCTTATGGAAGTTTTGATCTCCAAATAAAATTAATGAGTTGCTGAGGTGTCTTAATAAAAGAAAGAGTATAGGAACAGATGCTATGCTTTATTATAATGTGCATGGGTAAAATGAAAGGGAGTAATGATTAGATTCTGCCATCACCAAACTCACCAGTTATGATATCATTAACCTCAGCACTTGTTTCACATTTTGACTGATATTCTTTTCCTTCTCTCAACCAGTTAGAGCTGAAACCTCAAGGCCGAATGCTAATGAATGCAAGATACTTCTTGGAAATGAGTGGCAAGTAACATTTCTTCTTCCTGTTGGGGAATGAGGAGGGCATGTCAGGAGAAAAGGGAAGCCCAAGGAATGTTCTTAAAATTCTAGGTGGTGCTCAGATACTAACTGAAAACACACTATCTGGGTTAGAGAATCATAAAAATATAAAACATTTACAGCATTAGTTTTTTAATTGTGTGGACACATATGTCCAGTGCTTTTAGTCTGTCTTTATTTTAGTTTGGGAATTTAATGTAAATTCAAAAGGCTGTTTATGTGTCATGATACTGTCTTTGTGTAAATGATATTGCATTATCAGTAGAATACAAAATAAATATGAGACCAATAAATATTTTCCATAACACTAGTAGCAAAACTTTAATGACTTTAAGTTAGTCACCTCAAATCCTTTTAGGAACAAGAAAGGAAAATGCATTGCTAAAGAGTTTCAGTTCCATGTAGCACACAAACATTGGTCACGGAAGTTACATTTACGAGTGTGTGGTTGGTGCCTGTGACAGCTTGTCAGTTCCTTCTGTTACATTTATATTCTACTTAAGTGCTACTTAAACTAATTAAATGCTAATACTCATAAAATCCTAAACCTCAGAATGTATATGTGAACTTACTGATAATAAACTGATTTAATTATTTTCTAAATTAGTTTTACTACCAAGAAACAAGTTTTAGTTTATAGAATTGTAATGCTTTGTGGGGGTTTTACTTCACATGTGCAATTCCTTTGGGTCCAGATTAAAAAAAAAAAATATTATGAGGTAACCATGTAAAATGGAACACTCAGCAGATATTTGATGATACTGAGACACTGTTGTTAATTTTTTAGGTGTGATGATATTATAGTTATATTTTAAAGGCTCCTTATCTTTAAGATACATACTCAAATATTTATAATAAAACCAGAGGTCTGGTGCACAAAATTGGTGCGTGGGGGGGGGGATGTCCCTCAGCCCAGCCTGCATCCTCACTAATATATATATTTGTGCACCAAGCCTCTAAGATTATACACACACATACACACACACACACACACACACACACACACACATATGGTTAGAATTTCCAAAATAATTCATTTCATCCCATGAATTTAAAAGTAATTTTACACTTTATTTTACTTCATATCATTTCATCTGGACCAAAATGGCAATGAGTCAAATCTTACTGATACATATCCTACTACCCAGTCTTGAGTTGTAAATAGATCTCCACACCTATACCAAAGCTTGTGGAAGAAAACAATCACATGACCCTGAATTTAAACTCTCATTCTCCAAGCCTAATTTATTTTTTAATTTAAATTCTTTATTGTTTAAAGTATTACATGAGTCTCCTTTTCCCCCCATTGACCTCTCCCCAGCCACCCCCATCTCCAGCACATGCCCTTACCACTATCACCCATACTGTCTGTGTCCATTGATTATGCTCATATGCATGCATACAAGTCCTTTGGTCGATCTCTTACCCCTTCATCTCCATCCTTTCCCTCATAGGTTGGATAGTCTGTTTGATGCTCCTATGACTCTGGTCCTATTTTTGTTCATCAGTTTATGTTGCTCATTATATTCCACAAATGAGTGTGATCATGTGATAGTTATCTTCCTCTGACTCAAGCCTAATTTATTTCCAGCTCAGTTCCAAACACAAGGGCCTCAAAGGCCTAATCTTAAAGTATTAGGCCCCCAACTGTGGAACTCTTTACATGATCATTGAGGATGCTTTTTATCTGGGAGTCTGGAGTTGCCATAAAACAAACCTGTACTGGTAAACACTGTGGAGAAGACTTTAAACCTAAAATGCATTCTGGTACTTGGTGAATTCCTGAAGGAGAGGGCTCCATCTACACAGCACCTCCTTTGTCTATTCAAATGTGTTTCTAGCTGGCCACGATCAGTATCTTAGTAGGGACATTTGCCCCAATTATATTGTCAAGCCTCTGCCACTACTTAGTCAGAATGGAAGTAATTTAGTTTAAATATTGTTAATTATTCATATTTACAAAATAGGAGCCCCTTACTCTCAATAAACCTCCATTTTTTGTATTTATAATATGTAGTCCAAGAATCTTTAAGCTATTTCAAATTATTATTCTAAAAGTTATAATCATTAAATTCATTATCTTTATTTTAGTAATGATGATTTTTGTTATTTCTTGTTTACTGCATTAGTCTCTCTTACATGCTATACTTTTCATCATGCTGTTGTGTGTTTTCTTTGGGCCTGGGCTTCAGGCTGGGCATTATTGGTATCTCAAAATTCTACCGGACTTTTGAGAAAATGTCATCTGGAAATTGGCCATTGTAGATGGTGCCTTCCTAAAGTACCTTCATCAATATCCAGAGCCCAGGGTGAGCTGAAGAAATGTGAATGTGATTATTTGATGTGGATTACTAGATTGCATCCAGGACTACCTAGACAATACAAAAAAAGAAAAAAAGAAAAAAAAACATCTACAGTTATCCATTAATTCCCAACCTTTCCACATTGACCAATGTATTCTCTAGCTAGTGTGTTTTATTACTGTAAATATCAGGAACCCAATATAAATAACTCCCCAAATTTGTTTGCCCTTGGTCTTGCCAGCTCCTTCCTGTCTACTGTACTTTATAACCAGATGTAAAGCATCTTGGGACCTAAAAAAAGAAAAAGAAAAAAAAAAGCCATTTCCAAGTGGTATCAGTAACCACATTATTCTCTGGAATTACAGGCAGAAAAGTACCACTTCCTGTCTTTCTGGCTGACTCATCATTGACATATGAATAGGAAAGGTTGTTAAATACCTTGAAAGTTCTGACCTCTGGTTTTAAAAATTGAAAGATGATAATAACTCAGCACACTCAAAGAATAGTGAAAGATTAAGCCAATAATCCAACCCCACTGTTTCAAATCCTATAATAATATCCCCTATGATAAATCTTTATTAAACAATTTTTTAAAAAGGCTTAGTAGTGCACCAATCTCAATAAGTACTGGGGATTTTATTGGTCTCAATACTTGTCTAAATCCTTGTTCATCTTTGTCCCTTCCCCATATCCCCATCCTTCCCCTCCAGTTATGTCAGCCGTATCAGAGAACTTCACTTTGTCCCCTATCCTCTTCTGCAGACACAAAGGACATGAGTGAATTCGAGACTGAAGGCTTCTTTGCTTTGCATCACCGTCGAGGAGCCATCAAACAGGCCAAAGTCCATCATGTCAAGTGCCATGAGTTCACCGCCACCTTTTTCCCACAACCCACGTTTTGCTCCGTCTGCCATGAGTTTGTCTGGTATGGTGGCCTGACCTTTCACTCTTAGCTTTAGGTTATATATTTTGTAACATCCTCTTCACCCTCCAGGCCCACCATACCGTGTTTCCTCGAAAATAAGACATCCTCCGAAAATAAGACCTAGCGCATGGAAAGATAAGACATCCCCTGAAAATAAGACCTAGCGCAACTTTGGGAGAAAAAATTAATATAAGACACTGTCTTATTTTCAGGGAAACAGGATACCTCTCCTTAGGGGAGCACACCAGAATAAATACTACACGATAGTTTTCAATGGCCTCAACTGGATTGAGAAGGTTTAAAGGGTGTGATTCTAGAAAAGATTTCATAATCTGGCTCCTCCTATAGAGCAGGAAAGCCAGCTCCCAAGTTCTTTAGTTTCTGGTTAAATGGGAGGCTCCTGAAGTAAGAAGGGAGGGAAAGAGTGGGGCATTGTAAGCACAGCTGGAACTCCCACCACTTTACCCCCACCTTGATAACCCATCTTTGCTAGCACTACTATCTACAAAAGGCAACAACTTTCCCATTGGAGCTAACGTGTTTAGATGTTTACAGTGCCCTTTGGTGTTTTAACAGCCCTTGAATAGAGATTGGCTCAAGCTTCAGTAGCCACATAGTAAAGGCTATGATAGAGTAGAGATTTAAAACGACTCCTATCTCTGGGTTCAAGCTGCTCACTTCTTAATGGGGTGTTCTTCTCTTTGGACAACTGCAGAATCTTTTCATGCACAACCCCAACTTAATCAGGGTATCCAAGGTCAAATAGATTTTTGGTGGATTTCTATCAACGTGTTTCCATCTAATGACCTGAACTCCTTCCTTTCCCTAGTGAATGATATTCAGGAATGATACCCAGAAAGATGAAATGAAATCTTCAGATGTCTTTGCTGATCTATGTTGAGCATAGATCTATCTTTGCTGATCTATCTTGCTGAGACATGGAAATTTGCAACTAGGAGCCTGTGGTGCATTTTCAGAGAGGCATTTTAACCTCTACCTGTTTGCTTGGAGAATATACAAATGAGAGGGCAATCAATAGCTCATCATTCATTTTATCATCAGACTTTCAGCAAAGCAGTTTAAAATAAAATAAGAAAAAAACACATGCTAATGCTGTTAGCAAATAATAGACCAGGGCTGCTAATGAGAAAATGCTCTGTGATCATAGGAAGAAATGAGATCTCATCACCTTTCAGATGTTTGAGGTGCTGCTGTTGTTTTGAATACCCATATAAATCATACTTGTGCTTTATTGCAGGGGTCTGAACAAACAGGGCTATCAGTGTCGACGTAAGTAAGCAGGATTTCTGTTGCATTACCATCATTCTTTTGTAGTTGTTCCTTAACTTCTGAAAATGTTAAGCTGCAACCATTTCTTTTCAGAATGTAATGCAGCAATTCACAAGAAGTGTATCGATAAAGTTATAGCCAAGTGCACAGGATCAGCTATCAATAGCCGAGAAACCATGGTATGTAGTTAGATTTTGCTCTTTGTCTGAAATATGATGACTTTGCCCTAACATGAAACTTTACAGCCCAGTAATTCTTCTTAATAATGCCTAAACTTGAATCCTTATGCTTATTGGTGATCTCCCTAAAACCCTTCCCTCTTTAATAATTGTTACTGAGATCCAAGACTAGGGTATGAATTTTAAAAAGCACAATAAGAATTTTAGTGTCTCTGCCTTTTCCAGAAAAACATAATAGAAAATAGCCAGAAAGCATGGTTTTGAACAATTATGGTATATGAGAACAACTCCTATGTATCTATACCTAGAAATGACAGTTAAAGAGCAGAGGCAAATGAAAATAAGTACAGATATAAGCATTTACAAGAGGTGATAACAGATGTATAATTCTTATATTAAGAGGCAAATATTTCTGTCTGACTGAACTTTGAGGTATATAGTTTGAGGACAAGTTAGATTTTACTCCATAGGGAAGGGAAGCTGAGCTAGAAAGTCAAGCAGCCTTCCTTCTCCCACCCTTTCCTTCTTTGTTTGACAAATATTTATTGGGTGTCTAAGACATGGAAGGTACACTGCTCTGCACAGTGTACAGCAGAGCACAAAACAGATGTAGTCTTGCCTTTATGGACTTTACCATAAATCTAGAGAAAGAGATCATTAACAAATGACTATGTATATTTTTCATTTATATTAGATACTATGAAAATAGCCAACAAAGTGTAATGATGAAAAATAACTGAGTGGCCCACTTAGACTGAAGGCCAGGGACTCTCCTAAGGGAGGGGGCTCTTAACCTGAGAGCTGAAGGGTGAAAGGAGGCAGCTTTGTGAACAGTGGGGGGAAGGAGCCCCCAGACAGACTGAAAGGCCCCATGAGCAGAAAGAATCAGCATGTTCTAGAAACTAAAATGAGACCATGTGACTAGAATAAGGGCAAAAATTGAATATGATTCCTCAATCAGACAGGGATCTTCAGATCCTGGAAAAGAGGTTATTTTTAAAAAATATATTTCTATTGATTTCAGAGAGGAAGGGAAGGGAGCGAAAGAGATAGAAACATCAATGGTGAGAGAGAATCATTGATTGGCTGCTTCCTACACATCCCACACTGGGGATCAAGCTTGCAACCCAGGCATGCACCCTGACCGGGAATCAAACCATGACCTCCTTGTTTATAGATTGATGCTCAACCACTGAGCCATGCCAGCGGGATGGTTGAGTATTTCATTTTGGTTTTTGTTTTGGTTATTTTTGTGGGTTTGTTTTTTGGGAGTTTTTGTTTGTTTGTTTGTTTGTGTGGGGTTTTTGTTTTGTTTTGTTTTGTTTTTGCAATGGAAAGTCCATTGCAATGACTGCTATAGGGGAAACAGTGGATTGAGATATGAAAGTAAAAATCTGGGAGCATGGGGTCCTACCAGGACAGAAGTGTGGTAACAGTAGAAATGGAGCAAAATAAGCAGATTTTGGGGTGATTTCAATATTCCAAATGACTCTACTGCTAATGGACAAGATGTAGAGAATGAAAAAGATGGATGATAACTGATTTTCTGTCTTGAGCAGTGGGGTAGATAGCAGAATCATGAGAATGTGAATAAGACTGGAAGCAGAGATCTAGAGGGAAAATTAATATTTCCATTTTAGATAATCTGAGATGCCTAAGGACACCCAAGTGAAGTTATCAAATAGACAATTTTATAAGCTTAGAATTCATATGAGCCAATTGAATAAGTCTATAAATTTGGAAATGACTATCATTGGGATAGAATTTGAAGCTATCAAAGAGATGACCTAATGAGAGAGGATAGGAGGAAGGGAGTATAAGCTCAATACTGACCCAAAGGAATCTAAAATTAGTTGTAGGTAGAAAGAAGGAGCTTGGGATAGAGATGAGAACAAAGGTTCAGAGAAGGTTCTTTGTATGTTAAGAGTGTATAAAAGGATTGGTTAAATTCAGTGCAGTTGAGATAATGAGAAAAGTGAGGGCCATGTGACGATCTTTTGAGCCCTTGATAAGAGAAATTCAGAAGATTTATAGAGGCCAGCACTGGAAGATGATAATATGGAAACAACCTATGCATTAATGTTATGGTGAATATTAATTGTAAAAAAGGTCATTGAAGTAGAGCAGTAGCTAGAAGGAGGTGAGACACAAGAAGTATAAATACTCCCATAGCTAGTAGGTGATGACACATGAATGTTGGCGAGAGGAATGACCAAAGCAGTCAGTCTTGGCAAGAGGGGAAGAGGTCCAAAGCACATGTGGAGATGTGTCTCTGGTGGATGAATGATCATTTCATCAATTGTAGGAGAGGAGGAGAAGTTGGTTGCAGATACAGTTAGGTTTGCAGATTTGAGGGCAAGTATTTCTGTTAGACAATTTATACCTTCGAAGAAGTCTGAAGGTTGAGAGAAGGAAGGCAATGACTGGCTTTGAGGAAAAAAATATCTGTGAAATGATTATTTTGAGATGGGAAAGCAATGGTTTAGAGAAAAGCAGTAGGATTGCCAAGCATAGTTGAAAGTCCCTTTGGATTTGAGGGTGTCAACCTGCCCAGGTATGTGATTTTCTCCAGCAAAGGGGCAGGAACAGAGAAAGCAAATTGATTTAGGTTTTCCAGAATAGAATTACTTTTAAAATTTAGAGGGGGGAATAATCTCATATTAAAGTGACTCTGCTAAGGCTCTAAGAGATTAAAATAATTTGTGTATAGTCAATCACCTTTAAGAGACAAAGCTTGGGCTAAAATTTAGATCTCAATCTCCCAGAACATTGTTTTTGTTTGCTTAAATCAAATTGCCACCTCCCAACCCACCCTCCAGCTCCTGTTACTTGATACCTCAGCTTTCCTGAAAAATCTCAGATTGTAAGCATGGCTGTTCATCTCAAAGGCTAATGTACAATAGAAATAGAATGAGAGCCACAGTATAATTTTAATAAATTTTCAAGTAGCCACATTAAATGAAGTAAAAAGCAACAGGTGAGATTACTCTTAACTTTATATTTTTATTTAACCCAATCAACCCAAATATTATCATTTCAATGTATAATCAGTATAAAAATTAGAGTATTTTACTCTTATAGCACATCTTTTCATCACCTTGCAAATATTCACTTGACCCTTGTGGCTAAGTGACTGTCATGCTGCAAAATATAAATCTATAATCTTTCCCCAACGAACCTTGAGTCATTTGAGCACCTCATGAATTAAAGTGGAAGCTTCTAGCCTGGACCTTGACATTAATTGTTCATATTTACACGAAATTGCTTATACAAAGTCAGTTTTTGAAGTTGTTTTTTTCTTGATTGAAAATGAATAGAGTAAGTGCTGGGGAACTTTTAAGCAATTCTAAACAGCTATTATAAAGACCCAGTGCTGACCAGCAGCCAAAACAGGAACATTAGCTACATCACTTTAATAAATAAGGCTTCGTTGCTGTGCATGTTTCCAAATGAATTGTTTAATTAAAAACTGAGGCAGAGATTATAAGTCTTAAGTACATAAAACTTTTCATACTGTACAAGAATATTGGTATTTTGCCAGAATTCAAACTGCCTGGTTTTTGTTGTTGTTGTTGTTGTTGTTCATGGATGTTTGATTAAAGGAGAAGATTGAAACTCTGGAAAACGGGGGGGGGGGGGGGGGGGGAGAACACTCTGCAATACCTTTACCACCAGCATCCCTTTCTCATCTCCCCTCTCCCCGTTCCCTAAATCATGTTTGTTTTGAAAGAGAAAAGAGTAATAGTGAAAGAGGACAGAGGACAGAAGAGGACAGAGGACAGGCTCTCAAATTGATGGCCAGGCTATAGCTAGTCCAGCTCACTTGGCTGTGTGACCTAGACAAGTGTCTTACCCTCTCTGTGCTTCATCACCTCATCTGTCAAGTGAGAATACTAACAGAGGCTACTTCAAATGGGATATTTTGAGGATGACATGAGATATCACCTGTAAAAGATAATGCACATGTGATATGTGTCCACAGCACTTAGCGGAGCCATCAGCTGCCTCTGGCCTCCTCTGTTTATGTATAAAAGATGTGAAGTGCTTCACACTTCAGGCTCTCATACTAATAAGCCAATGGCAGCGCTGCCTCTAGAGGGGTCATTATATTTAATATCTTACAAAGGTGAAAGCGCTGCTTCTGGGCTGAAAGAGAAAAGGAAATATTTATATTAAAATAGGAAGGGAAGTGCAAAGTTTACTTAGCTCCTATCTAAATAAATAATCTGAGTCCCCTCTTCCTGAAATGTTAGCCCAACTGCAGAATACCTCAGATTGCAGCTGTCTGCGGGTTACTTGATAGGGGTATATCGCGTGCTTGCCCCTCACTCCGAAAGAGCCATCTAGCTGAGTTGTTTGAACATGACTATAAAACTTGACAAGTAAAAATTGTGGTTTAAAATGTACATCGTTCCTATGTTTTTTATTATTCTGCTAGTTATGCTAAAGTATCTGCTAAGATATATAAAGCTGGGAACCCCGGGTCACCTACTGTCATGCGATCTCTCTTCTTTCAGTTCCATAAGGAGAGGTTCAAAATTGACATGCCGCATAGATTTAAAGTTTACAATTACAAAAGCCCAACGTTCTGTGAGCACTGTGGAACGCTGCTATGGGGCCTGGCCAGGCAAGGGCTGAAGTGTGATGGTGAGTCTTGTGGGAAATGCGTGTGGGCCCAGACAAAACACCTCTGGGAGGTGGACTCCCAGCTTCAGTGAAGAATGAGAGGGAGGGAGGAGGGATGGAGCGCTGACCTCTCCAAACCACCTGGAGGAGCCTGTGATCATGAATAAGAAAGGCCTGAAACCATAAGCCACTGCCCATCTTTTATACCACATACACACACCCTAATGCTTGTAAGTACAGAATCACTCAGGTTAAATACCAAGGCTCCTGGTCCATTGCCTTCTGTAGGCCTCGTCCTGGGGAGAAATGAAGAAGATAGCATTTCTTCTCTGACCACTTTCCTCTCCCTGGCCCGGTGTCTCTCTGGGCAAGGCCCCTAACTCTGGCAGCTCCTGGCGTGCCCCTGCCACCCTCCTTAGTATCACCCAGTGAGATTCTTCCTGTGGCCCCGTCAATGAGCAAGCCCGGCGCGTCTGCTTGCCTGATGGACGGTCCTGCACAGAAGAATTCCCTGACTTAAGCTGGATTGAGAGTCTATCACTTAAAATGCACAGGGAGAGGCCAAGCGCAGCTCTGACTCCGACCTTTCCCCGCAGGCCACCAGTACAGCAGAGCCAGTGACTAGCAGCCTCCCTGGTCAAGTTATTCAGACCGATCCCGAGAAAAAGCCAACAGGGCTTTCCTGCTCTAAAACTCCAAGTTGCCAAGGCAATAACCTTTAGAAGCTGAGATGCTGTTGCATCAAGATCAGGGGGCAGAGAGGAAAACATTGCACCGAAGATGACAAAGCACTTCTTCCTTTGGAGTGGGGGTGAGAGTGGGGATGGGGCCCAGGTATTCAAAAAGGAGGGCTCAGGCTGCAGCAGGGACCTTTCTGTTCTGAATTATTAAATAGAGAAGCCACTGTTCTGAGCAGCCCAACTTTTATGTCACTAACCAATGCCTGTCTTATCTCTTAAGCGACAGAGGGGCGGACTTGAGGTGAAAGATCACCGTCAGCAGTGTCCCCCTTCCTCATCACAATTGTGTTCACGTGTCTGGGGAGCCTGGAGTGACATTTTAAAGGGAGGCAGGAGGGGCTGGGTTTTTAAATCATTACCGAAGGCAAGACCAGTTTATAGTCAAAATTCACCTGAACAGTCCCTCCATAGCCCGCAAGTGCTATGACACACTTTTCTCCGTGCCTGTCCAAGAGCCTGGGAGGGCCTGGCACTGTACGGAATACCGTCACAAGCTCACAGGCAAGAAGTAATTGGTTGCCCTAAATGTACACATAGCACAGGAACCATCACAGCCCCATCCGAAGTCTTCCTGTTCTCATGTGGGTATCACAGTTGACATTTCCTCTCCCTGGAGCCCGGCACCCCCCACCCCCACCCAGGCCAGGCAGGGTGGTTATGCTCTGAGCTTAGAACTCCCACGAGGATTCTTGGCATTATTTCACGGCTCACACGCCTGCTTTGTTCTGTCCTTTTCTAACGTTCTTTCTCTTCCATTCCACCCTCTTCCTCACTCTCCCATCTCCTACACTTCAAGCAGCCTCCTCCCTCCTTTCTCTGGTCCCCTCTCCCCTCCCAATATCTCCTTTCCCTCTCCTCCCCCATATGTGTCCCCTGTTCTTGCTCCCAACACGCCAAAGTCCCTTACCTCCTCATGTCATCCTCTTTGTCACCTCCCACCCTCTTCCCTACATCCCTTTTTCCCTGGTCCTTTGCTGCACACTCTCTTTATCTTGCTTTCTCATAAGCCACCTTCCTAAGTAGGGCCTCCCTTCACCCTGGCTTGTCTGCTTTCTTGCTCGGCTACACTTCCCATGAAAATAGCCATCAAAAGGGACTATTTGCACTCACAGAGATGGACTCCTCACCTACGAGGTTAGTAACAAAGATTTATGGCATTGTCATAGTGGGAATGAGGCCTTTCTTTACAACCGCACATCAGAGACAAGCTTAGATCTGGCCACAATTTTAAGGAGCAAAGGAAAACTCCCAACCCCTGGTGCTAAATCCGCATTGCCTGCCTCCCTGTACTAAGGATGCAGAATTCAGAAGAGCATCCAGCCTTTGCAAACAGCATCTTTAGTAAACATTCCACTTTAAGTGGATTTTATGACTAGATCTACTCATTTATACTGGGGCAGCTTTATACTTACATAATAAATGCTGCTTTATTATGAACTATCTGAGGAAGAGGGGGCTAGTTAAAACTAAAGATGAAGGTGGCTAAAATTTCAACTAAATATTTCTATATATATTTCATTGTAATATACAATGAAGGTGAAAGAAAAGTTATATCTAATGAGCGCTTATTTGATGCCAATCACGGTGCCATTTGGGGGTGGGGGAGAGGGTTTGCACCCAAATGGGCTAATAATAAACAGATAAGATTAAAATTAGGGTTTGTTTGTTTGTTTGTTTTTAGCTCCTCCTGCCTAATTTCATTTTAATAATCTCTATTAATATATTGTTATAGAATTCAGTTGGACTTGAGATCAGAGTTCTTTTAGCTGGGATTTGGAAACCTTTGTGAATTTTTTTTTTCATTGCAGCAGTGATGTTTCACAAGCAGAATTTTAATTTTCTAAAACTAATGACACGAGATAATAGTTGTCTTCGCAAAGACACACAGGTGTGCACATCCCCCAAACCAAGGAGGCTCACATGACCACAGAAAGTGTAGGCAGACCTTTATCAGGCTGTTTCTAGGACTATTCATCAAAAAACTCCTGCAGAATCATGGCTTTAAGAGCTAGAAGCCTATGTAAATGGTTTAGCTCAGCTAGCCCAACTCTCCCATATGCTGGGAAAGTGGTCTCAGCCACTTTCCCTCCTCCCATCCCCAGTCCTAAGCCCACACACAGACCACCCACCACCATCTCCATTTCAGCTCTGCAGACTGGGCTGAACCCTGGTGGGCAGAGAAGCCCTTTGCAGCCTGTCTGGGAAAAGGGAGGCTTGGGCTGTGGTGTAGGGAGAGGGTGTAGGGTTAGCATGAACAAACTTCAACCCCAGCATTGCACATTTCCACCAGTGAGAGCCAACATCAGTCATTTTCTCTCAGCAATGGCACAGTCTAAATGCATACGGACAGCAGACCACTGCCCCTATCAACACAGCTCTGTCCCATCTTTAGCGGGGCTCACTTCCCAGAATCACACAGGAGCATCTGGTCTGTGTGTGACTGTTTCAGTAAAGGGAGCCCAGTGGCATCATAAAAGCACTGTCCAAATGTATTTGTATTCAGTGTCTCCTGCTGTGAAGATGGCATGGGGGTTGCCAGTTGTTCCTTTACCACAGGTGTACCCAAAGAAGGTCATGTGCAAAGGTCATGGCCATTGGTTCTGTTGCTCTGGCTCATGTGTCATTGTCCCCCTCTAGCATGTGGCATGAACGTGCATCACCGATGCCAGACAAAGGTGGCCAACCTCTGTGGCATAAACCAGAAGCTAATGGCCGAAGCACTGGCAATGATTGAGAGCACCCAACAGGTATGTGACAAGTTCCTGCAGTTTCAACTCAGCAGAGACTACTCCAGCCCCTTTGCTCATTGATATTTAGCAACTGTGTGGGACAACATGGCATCTATTTCTGAGCACTTGTTTCTCCCCTTTCATCTTCGTGCCCATACCCCCATCCCCTTTGAGATATTTATGTAATGAATTTGTAAGATCTTAAATGTGTAGAATGAGCAAGGACAGAAACAAACTCATTAAAATTATTGAGGATTCATTGCCAGCTTTATACCCATTAGGGTTGATTAATAGCCTGAGGCAAAATGCTGATATGCTAGAATCAACCCTAGAATGCCCTCAGAAGCCCTAGTCCAGGGCAACTTTTGCCTTGCCATATACTAGCATGCTTAATTTACATATCAAGAAAAAAACCTCCTTAGGACTTGGCAATGCTGTTTTTCTACCTTTTGCCCTTCGATTGGATAGCACAGGAGAAACCAATTAATTAGGTCCAGAAAAGTATGAAGGAAGTGAATATGCTCTGCTGCTGCATAAAATCCAGTAGACTCACATAGGATATAGAATCCAAAAAAGAGTGCTTAGGGAAAGAGCTTTGATTACTTTTTGCTTTTATGAATCTAAATGGCTTTTGTCCCAAGGACAGGCTGAGATGTCTATCAGTAATGTGTAGTTTAACTCTTTGTTTGTAATCTAGGCTCGCTGCTTAAGAGATACTGAACACATCTACAGAGAAGGTCCAGTTGAAATCGGTCCCCCAAGCTCCATAAAAGATGAAGCAAGGCTGCCCCATGTACTGGCATCAGGGAAACGAGGTAGCTATCTTGATCCCCACAGAATCAATGTCAGTAATTTATCTTGATTAACCTTAACCTGAGTCCTCTTTATATATTACTCCATCTACCTGGTCTTAATAAATGCTCCATGTACCTGGTCTGATAGATGATTCTTTTCTATCTCAATATTACAGACATAGCCAACAACTAAGATGCTCCTACTTCTTAGAAGTGAAACTAAAACATTCCCCATTAGGAAACCCTTTTAAGACAGTGGGAGGCTTGGGGGAAGGAGGGAGAAAATGGAGTAAGTCTGGAGAAAACAACTGTAAGTTTTTTCTTAGAATTTTAGAATATCAGTTACTTCCTATAACTGTTAAATGGTTTTATAGAAATAGATCCACCATAAAGCTCAGTGGTGGGGATATTCTGCACCTTCACAGACTATTCTGTGATGTTGAAGAGAAGAAAGGAGAATAGCAGTGCCCAAAGTCCTTCACATTTATGACATGACAGAAGTGTATCCAGCCTTCTGTTTGAAGATCAATCATGTGAGCATATGACCACCTGACTATGAACCTGAATAGTTTCAACATACATTACAAAATACTTTCCCTGGATTTAGGGAGAATATGGAAGATAAACTTATAGATTAAAAAATTAATGTCATTATTCCAACCATAAGCAAAGAAATGATAATTATGTGATGTGCTAGTGGTACTAACGCTATAATAGCAATCGTATCACAATACGAAAATGTATCAAATCAACATATTGTACATCTTAACACAATGTGAGATATCAAATATTTTCAATAAAAATTATATTTGGGAGAGGAGGAAAGATTCCAAAAATGTTTTTCTACACCTCCTCTGGCATGGGGTGAGGAATAAATCGACTTAAAATTTTTTAAAGGAAAGTTTGGATCAGAGTGGGGATGAGTGTCCAGGCAGAGAAGTAAGCCAGGCCTTAGTGATGATCAAAAGAGGTGGCATGTTGACTTGAAGACTGTGACAAATGATGCAATTCAGTCTGCTGTCCATTTTCTCTTCCCTCCCCTGGAAAGTCATATAAATTGATGCCACTGTTTTTGTGAGCCACAAAGCAATCGAGAACCATTTTTCCTTGCATTTGGTTAAGATCTCTCTATTTGTCCATGATTTGACATTTACTAAAAGTGCTCGTTTGGGTTGCATAAATGGCCTTTTGCTGATTGGAATGTTTCTCAACTTGAAAAATTTCCCAATCTCTTGGATAAACAGACCCAGTTCATGCCCCAGTGCCAGGCCCATAGACAGGAGGTGCCACCAGGCACAGCAAGAACCCCTTTCAGCATTATTTCAGCATTCAGGTGGATCCTAGAATGGGAAACTGGAGAAGAATGTGTGTTCTCCAAGTAGCTAGAATAACGGTCTAATGTTCTTTGTTTCCTTTTAACCACTGGTTGCTATTCTTAGAGCCTCAGGGAATCTCCTGGGAGTCTCCCTTGGATGAGATGGAGAAAATGAGCCATCATCCAGAACCTGAGCCGAACGTAGAAAGACCATCTCTACATATGAAGTTAAAAATCGAGGATTTTGTCCTGCACAAAATGTTGGGGAAAGGAAGTTTTGGCAAGGTATGGTATCATACCACAGAATCCCATAGACTAATGCCCAAAAATCAAAGAGTAAAGCTCCTGGTTAAAAGAACTAAGCTCTTGGGGTCAGAACTATGAGTGGGTATGCAGAGAGTGCGTTCCTGAGCCTTCTGTGACAGGTAGAGATGTTGGAACAAATGGGGGTCCAGGGCCTCCAATGAAATCAGCCTTTGCCTCCTTGGGTGTATCCAAGCCATTTTGCTTTAAAGGTGGACATCCCCAGCTTATGAATTTGTCATCTCTGGACACCTTAGAAATAAGGAGGTGCCTCAGCCAGTTCCTATTTCACACTGGGTTTTTGTGTTTGTTTGTTTGTTTGTTTGTTTGTTTGTTGTTTGTTGTTGTTGTTTGCTCAAGTGTGGTTTTACTTCTTATGTGGTTCATTTTCTCTAGCAAATGTCCTCAGCCTTATATTAGCTGGCTAGGGTTACTGTAACAAAATGCCACAGACTGGCCACTTCAACAATTTTCGTAGTGCTGGCAATCCCAAATGAAGTGTCAGCAGGGTTGTTTCTCCTAAGACCTCTCTCCTTGGCTTGTAGATGCCTCTTCTCCCTGTGTCCTCTCAGGGTTGTTTCTCTGTGCGTGTCTGTGTCCTAATCCCTTTTCTTATAAGGACAGCAGTAACTTTGGATTAGGGTCCACCTCAATGACCTCCTTTTAACTTAATCACCTCTGTAATGACCTCCGCAGGGACACTCTGAGGTCATGGGGGTTAGGATTCAATATATTGATTTTTTTGAAGAGATACAATTACAATTCAGCCCATAACACAGCTGTAGCTTGAGAGTCCTGGGAAGAGCTTCATGGAGAAAATGCCTCCTCTGAACTCCTCCTGCCACACACTGGAGTTGTGGGTTGTCTCTGCCAGTCAGAGGGGACAAGGAGAGAAAGGAGACATAATTTTAAAAATTACAATTTATTATCGATGATGTGAGAATATTTACAAACCAGTGATTGTAAAGAGGGATGACATGGAATATAGAATTTGGGATTCTTTGCAATATTGAGAATACCTAATGTATTAGCTGCTTTATAGTCTTAGATTCAGCGTCCATGAACATTTTAGCCATAAATTTATACATCCAAAGCCAGCATTATGCTAAGCACCTACTCACCAGACTTTGGCTGGAAGACTTACCCAGTTTATTTAATGTTAAACAAACTGAAATGAAACTGATTTATTATCCCAGCTGAATGATGTGCTATTGGGGTTTGGATTTAAACAGCTGTGCCTCGCCTTTGGCAAAATCTACTCTGCCCTGAAATCTATAGCTGATATCCATTAATTTTTTTAGTTCATTTCCACAATCATATGAACTTCAGCAGGCCCATTTGATGTTAATCTGAGTGTAATAGGCAATTTTACAGCCAGTCCTCACTGTAATTTAGCATCAATTAATGTGTAATCATAACCTGTTACCTTTCCAGCTTCTTGCTTTATGGCTGGTTTTGGACTGTTTTATTGAAAGAAGCAATTACTAAGAAGGTAATTTTAATTGTTAATGAAATGTTTATCTTTCCTTATTCCTGTATGAATTGCTTCGCTTGAACATGGTTCATTAAAAAAGGCATTAAGTTGAACCTACAAACCTTAGGTAATATCCCAAGGGACAGGTGAGAGCTTCAGGTACTCTCTGCTCTGTGCCCTGCCCCATCAGCACCAGGGGTCCCTACATCTGTGAGGACTGCACTGCAGGGCGCCCCTGTGGAGAGGAGGACAAACACAAGAGCATCACTGGGAATACTCCAAAACTCGTTCTTCTTTCTTTGTGCTCTCATAGGAAGAATGCTTCCTCACCAAAATGGTAGCCTCTATATCCTTAGTCTGTATCTACTTTTAGGCCCAGAAGAACAAATTGCATGTTTTCTAGGGTTTTACACATAACTCATTTGCCTGATTTATCTTCTACGCTCTTTCCCCTCTATCAAGTCAGCTATCCCATAGTTATGTGCTGCACTATAGTATTTTAAACGTAGACACAATGCATTTTTCCTACTGGTTTAGCATCATTGACTTCAACACTCCCTAAAAGTCATTATAAGAAACAAATGACATGTATTCTTAGTATCTGTCATTTAGAGAGGATTTTATAGTTCACACATCACTTTCCCATGTGGTATCTCATTTGATTTTCACCGTGGTCCTAAAGTTAGAGAATATGGTGACAGTTCTTTCTTTTACACATTAGGAAACTAAAGCCCAGAGAGGTTAACTGGCGTGCCCACATTCCCACGGCTAGTAAATGTCTGTGAAATTAGACTTGAGCTGGAATTTTCTGTCTCCAAATGCCATGTCCTCACAACTGCTAGTTATCTGTTGCTGCATCATTTGCAAAGGCGAGAGGTGTTGAAGCTCTCCATTAGGTACCATCTGGTGTCCTTTCATGTGCAATTCACGAAATCAAGTGGAAAAAGTAAATTCTGGAATTACAGTTTCCACTGAGTGGCTCCATGAATTTGAGAGACTTAGTTACTTTTGAACCTTGTTTTTTGTTTTTTGGGAGTTTTTTTTTTTTTTTTTTTTTTTTTTGGGGGGGGGGGGTGTTGTTGTTGTTATTGTTTTGTTTTGTTTTTTTTATTCTTATCTGTCTTGCAGAGTGTTCTCAGCTAAGAATTAAAAGATTATAAAATGAGAGAGCACATGGAAAGCACAAAGCAGAATGTCTGACACACAGTAGGTCCTGAAAATGGGTTTGGTGTCTGTGCCATCAGATAACATGATGTGCCTTCTCTGAGCACACAGGAGAGCTCTACTCCTCATGGATTCTCCTTTGCCTTGAAAAACTGGGTAAAACTTGGAGAAAGTTTTATGCTCATTTGCAGTAATGTTTCTAGTACCATCAGGTCTGCCTCTCTAATACTTGCTGCTGCTTCCCATTTGTCTGTGTAGTTTTTAATTATCAACTTACTCAGGTCCCTGGGCAGACAAGGCATACTTTTTTAAATATAATTTTTCAGGAACTGAGAATGACCCATCCAGTTGCACAGGAAGTTTTTTTAAAACCCTTTGAAAGGTAAAGAAGAGCATATGAAACTGTTAGGTGAGACCCTAAACCAGTGAAATGCTCTATTGTGTCTGCAAAAAGGACCGCGGGGTTGGAGAAGGAAGCCTTCCTCACCCAGCACGCATCTCAGTCTTGTCCCCTTGTGAGTGTTACTTCAAATTCTAAAATAAAGTTACCTCTTCCTTCTAGGTCTTTCTAGCAGAGTTCAAGAACACCAATCAATTTTTTGCAATCAAAGCCCTAAAGAAAGACGTGGTTTTGATGGACGATGATGTTGAGTGTACAATGGTAGAGAAGAGAGTTCTCTCCTTGGCCTGGGAGCATCCATTCCTAACGCACATGTTCTGTACGTTCCAGACGAAGGTATGGCTTCTGTGCAGACAACCGTTTGTCCACCTGTCTGTAGGAAATCTGCCTGTGCCCACACGGTGCCCTGGTGGTACATCTCCATTCTGTTCCTTGTTACCTGTCAGTCCACCTTCCATCCATCTAAACAAATTTGTTCCCCTCTAAATGTTACTTAGATTTTTTATTATTATTGTTGTTGTTAATCCTCACCTGAGAATATTTTTCCACTGATTTTTAGAGGGGTGAGGGAGACAGAGAGAGATATTGATTGATTGCCAGGGCTTGGGATGAAACATGCAACCCAGGTACCTGCCCTTGACTAAGAATCAAACCCATGACCCTTTGGTGCAAGGGCTCACACTCTATCCACTGAGCAATACCAGCCAGATCTAGATTTTTTAATATTTTACTGATTTTTAGAGAGAGAGGAAGGGAGAGGGCTAGAGAGATAGAAACATCAATTATGAGAGAGAAACATCATTGATTGGTTGCCTCCTGCACGCACCCCTACTGGGGATAGAGCCCAACCCGGGCATGTGTACTGACTGGGAACCAAACCAGCGACCTCTTGGTTCCTGGGGAGCTGAGCCAGATTTTTTTTAATGTAATCAGTTGGGAAAGGGCTTTACTTCTGTATGTGATTATCTGTTTGTTTGCTTTTTAGAATTTGGTTTAACTTACATAACAACTAGAATTTGTAGCAGTTTGTGACTTGTTTGACAAAGCAGTGCTTTGTGGAGGAGGGGTTGGGATATGTGACACCTGTTTGTTCATCTACATATATCTATTTGAAGAAACAAATGGATCAGAATGCACATGCACTGCTGTCTTCCTTTATGAGTCCAGCAGGAGAGCAGCCTGTACAGTGGGCTTTATAAACGCATGAAGACCTGAGCACTGAGGGCGAGGGTGAATTTTATCCGAAGCCTCTTCTATTCAGGGAGGATTCTCGTTCTGGTCTCCTTTTCCCTTAGAAAACTTAATTGCTTTTTTTCTTGACTCAAAAGTTATCCAGTATGATTTTAGAGACATTAGAAAATGCATATACACTCAAAGAAGAAAATGGTTTATAATCCCATCCCTTGGGTATACTCACCATTAATACATTGAAGTTTATTCTTCTAGATGTCCTCCCAGGTGGATTTTTAAAAATAAAAATAGCAATCTATTGTAAATATCAACTATTCTGTAACCCATGTTTTTAACACAGTTCCTCTCATCTGTGGATATTCGTCTACAGCATGAGTTACCTAACTAGAACATTTCTAACTTTTTGTTCTGATGCTAATAACACCCAAATGAGCATCCTTATAGATCCATCTTCATGCACAAGCATCATGATTTTCTCTTTTCATTTTTCTATTCTCTTTCACCCTACCCCCATACCCAGCCTACAATATTGGACAGATTCATGTGGGACCATGTGGTTAAGGTCCAAAGAATATGAAGAGTTTTCTCTCTATTTCAAGCCTTGATGATAATGTACTATCTTACTGTGACTACGTGCAGGGGGCATCTAAGCTTCCGCCAGCCGTAGAAAGTAATGGCTGGGAAACTGGGACTTGATCAGAAAATGTGGATGGCAACTTCCCCAGCTCCCAGTGGGCAATCAACAGATGTTTAATGAAGGAATAAATGAATAAATACACTTAGCTAAAGTAAAGAGAGACCAAACCATAAAAAGGGACTTAATAAATATACTGTGCTCAAAGTACTGTGGAGGATATGGAAATACATGATATAGTTCCTGACCTCAAGAAATTAGAGAATGTCACTCTAATAAAAGAGGCAAGAGTGTGACTAATGCTACTTTGCAGAAGGTAGACTCTAAGCACCAGAGTTGGAAACCTAGACACTGAGAATTTGAAGAGGCAGGCAGGGTTGGGGGCAGCAGATGTATGGGGCTACAGGAGAGGAAGCATGAAGGAATGAAGGGGCAATGAGAAGCTGTTTAAGGAAACACAGCTTATTTTCTGCAGCTGGAAGGAGTTTGGCATGTCTGATACTGAGTGAGAGAGATTTTCCACTAGAAATTTTCTCCTGGAGTTCATAAATATCCATGGGTCTGGGATGGTGTGGCCATGTCTCTGAAAGTGAGAAATTTCACCGCACTCTCCAGCATGCATTCTGGATTTACTGGGCACCCTGGCGCTGTTTACAATCTCACTTCTCTCTTCAAACATTGTGAGGCTTGCATACATGCTAAATACACTTCAGACCAGGCTTCTAGGGCATTATTTGATGAAGTAGAGCGTGGCACCTTTTCCCCGCTGGTTTTTGTTCTGTTTTTGATATTTGCATGCATGGTTTTGGTTTTGTCTTTGTATCTTTGGGGAAGGCTGCTATGAATCCCACTTGGTAGAACACATGTATATTCACTTCTCTGCTTATCTCTCAGGGCTCCAGGCAGGGCTCACTTCTTTCCCTGCCAGGGGCATGCTGTAGCTTCCATGCCGCAGTAGTGCTTCACCAGACCGAGCAAATCAGTGCACGAGAAAAGTGGCAGAGTATGTGCACAAATGTCAAACATGACTGGCTCACTGTTTAGATTTCACGGCATTGAGTCTTCTTAGAAATAAGAATTGGGGGAGGAGGGGCTTGCATTACACTCTCTGAATGGTTCTGAGTTGCTTTTAAGATATCCTGATTTAACATTCAGATCTTGCATCTCAAACAGCATAACCAATTAAGTATCATAGATAAGTGTCTTAAGATGCAATTGATATGAATAATGAATTGCTCTCAGAACATTTTGAAAACGACCTTTTTGAAGGAACAGTCACTTTTGCATACTAGTGAAAACATTAGATAAGATGAATGACTATTTACTTTTCCAGGGAATTGTTATTATTTGGGGAAATGTATTCATGTGCATGCAAAGAGCCCTCCTATAGGTTGCCAGATTATTCAGGAGATTTTCAAGGCAGGATTCCCTTATGATCTGTCTGTGTATGTGGGTTAAACCATTAAAGGCTTTTAAGGTTTACATCTGAGGAACATGTGACCTGTCGAAGTGTGAAAATACAGTCAAGTCATTTAGGAAGCTATGGAAAGTGAAAATACCTGTGGACTGGGCTTCTGAGGAACTTGAGTCCCAGCTCAACCATCTCTCAGCAGGGCGGAGGGCTCCCCCACCCCAGCACTGGGTAGAGAGTAGGATTCACCCCACAGAGGGGCTGTGGGTGGGAGCCAGGTGCTGTGTGGAAGCACAGGGCTAGGACTCAGGTGTGTGAGGCAGCATCAGTTGGCTCTGAACCTGAATCTGAATGAAGTTCAAAAGGGAAGACTCTTAAATTAATTTTCTTGGTGTCAGATCAAGATAACGGTACTTCCTTTAGTCTGTGACATAAATTGCTGGCATCAGAGTCTAGTACAAATCGCCATGGAAAGAGGTTGTCACCTTAGCAGGAGGAGGAAATGGCATTTTATTCTTTTCTCTATGTTGTACTAGCACTTGTTATTTTTTAGTATTTTATTTTCTGTGTGTCACGTGAAAGCCCATATGTCTTGAATTGTGTGGTCCCTCTTAGTATCAGATTCAGCATGTATGCCAGCTACTGCACTGTCAACCCATATGTTCAGTACCTATCCTCCATTATTTACATTTTTAAAAAGCAGAAATAGAGAAAACCTACAGTAAATTTTTTCTATAAAAATAATTGTCATAAATATTTTAACTGTACTAACAAGTAAAATAAAAACTATTAGAAACTGATTAATCATAAAATCTTGAAAATATATTTCACAAATTAGTTAATTTAACAAACTTTTCTTCGAGACCTACTGTTTATACGTACTCCATGTTTCCTCAAAAGAGGCAAGACTATAACACTACAGGGGGATTACATTGCAAAGCTATGTCCTTTTCCTAAATATAGTTAGTAAATAAATTTTTTAAATCCTACCTAACTTTGAAAAGTAATATTCTATTTTATATTGAATTTTAAGATACCATTAATAGTTAGATGCATTATTGCTTTTCTTGATAAAATTATTTTTAACACTATATTAGAAGCTATCTCCCAATGTCAGAATGGTCTAAATGTGATATAATGTGTGTCGATTGGAAAGTGCATCGGCTGGTAGTAATGAGGACAGAAAATAACAATGGCCTAAATGACTCTTTATATAAAAGGAGTGTGACAGGTGCGGTTCAGAGCAGGTGTTACAGTTTCACGGCATCATTCATCAGAGATCCGGCACCATTTGCTCCCTGCTCCATCATCCAGAGCACTGGGCTTCCATCCTCAAGGCTGCTCCTCAGCCCAGTAAGGCTGCTGGCGTGCAGCCCTCAAAATCGGGTTCCAGCCAGTGAGTGGGAGGAACAGAGAGAGGATAAAACAAGCCCATGCCATGTTTCTTTCCTTTATTGAATCACTTTTCCATAAGGCCCATATAAAACTTATGCTCATGTGTCTCTGACTTTACAGATACAGGGAAAGCTGAAAAACTATCTTTCAGCTGGCACTTTGCCATCCAGAATAAGTGTCTTTACTAAGAAAGAAAGGTAGGCAACCAGCCATCTTACTCCAACGTATGTTTTAAAATACAGGAAAATATGATTTTAAAAGCCTACCTTTATTAAGAACCTATTTTGTGCCAGATAGTTTCCTAGGAACTTTAAATCTGTTATCTCATTTATTTCTGTTAACCCCAATGAAGCTGATATTATTATTCCTATTTTACCCATGAGAAAACTGAGGCCCAGAATAATGTACGTTGCCTAAGACCATTCACCTGGTCACTGGGAACAGTGTTGAATTTAACCCTGTGTCTCTGTGTCCAGATATTGGCCTCCTGTATGTTCAGACCATGTAAGTATATTAGTGGCATGGCACCCATGTATTAACTAAATGTTGACCTACAGGGAAGACAAAACACTCCCTTTTTAGTTATGCCAGATTAAAAGAAAGATTAATATTATTCAAGTACCCAAAGTTTCTCCGATTTATCTCTGATAACACGGAGGGAAAATAAGTTTTATTGATTTTTTTACAGAGAGGAAGGGAGAGGGA